GTTGCAGGCATCCTCAAGATCAAATGCTGCCACTACCAACTTTTGTTTGTTCTGGAACACCTCATAAACATTAAAAGCAAAAGTGGTGCAATTTGACCAGGTATTTTTTGTTGGCCAATAACTACCCAAATCTTCCTGCAGTAGCTCTTCCCTTTCTAAAAATATTTGTAGTTTAACAGCAATAATCTTCTCTAGCCCCTTGCCAAAAGTATTTTGTTGGGTGATAATCCTAAAACTGCTGAGTCTGGATTGATCTTTGTCTGGTTTTGGAAGTGGGATTAGGTAGCTGTGTACCAAGTCCTGAGGTACTGTTGCTCTGGTTGAAATGAAAAGCCATCTCTCTGAAGTCTTCATCAATCATGCTCTTCATGTGGGCATACCTGTCTCCATCTGGCCTCGGCACAGTGTCTTTTGGTTTTTGCAATATATTTAAATAATGCATACACAAACAATACATTGCACAATTTTGCAATATATATTTTATATCCTTTACACTAATGATATCCTGAAAATAATTATCATTATCTAATAATATGTATTAGAAAGATTATCTTTCACTGAATTTCTAAGTTCCCTATCATTATGATCAGTTTGGACTATAAGTCTCTAAAAAACTTCTTTGCCTTTGTCTGTTGTCATTTGCTTACTATTATCAATATGTGAATTACCTGTTGGGATAGGCCCATCCTTCCTTTGCATCTGTCTGTGACGTTTCCAGAACTTGCTGCACACCACTTGAACTCTTCTACTTTTTAATTTTCCAACTCTTTCTAGCTTCTCTACATCCTCTTGTAATCTGTGAGGTGTGTTTCCTACTTTCTGTAATGGTTTCACTGTCTGTAATTGTTTCACTGTCTGTAATTGTTTCACTGTCTTTAATTGTTTAACTGCTGCTCACTTTGCTCTCCATGCCTGTTCTACTTCTTGGGTCCACCATGGAGGCTGCACACAAGCAGAGATGGTGGTTCTGCTATATACTTTCTGCTGAAGGCGTCCAAGAAATGTACTGTAGCTCTCATACTTAAAAGTCTTGCATGTTCTCAAAGCTCTAAATCTGCTAGCTTTAGAAATCAAGTCTGAGGATGGCATATGGTCACTCCCATGATCACCTAGGACACTCCATTTTGTGTCCACCACTGCTGACTGGATAACAGATGCCAAATCAATAGTCGTGCCTGCATTACTAAGTCTTGTAGCCATTATAGTTGGCCTACCCTAATTTAGACACCATGTCTGCTTCTATCATAGCCTGTACTCAAGCACTTTCTTGTTAGTTTTCCCCAGTTGTGTCCCACGCTCTGTTCCATGCATTTTAATCCCCACAAATGAGAAGCCTATAACCTTGGATTTCCTTAAACTGTTTGAGCCAGTCCCAATGTTCCTTTGTGACAAGAGAGTCAACAGCAGCGTAAATGTTTACTAAATTCCAGGTTGCACCCTCATTATCTATCTGTGTATCCTAGCCCAGGTCAAGAACTACATGCTTCACCCCATTCTTCACCAGCAGACATTGCCCTTGCCTTCCCTGTCCTATAGGATTTATATAACCAATGCATCCAGGACATTACATATTGCAAACCCTGGTATATTAAGAATTGTGAAATGTTGTCACTAACCTTCAAGTCACACAGAAAAATGGTGCTATCCCCACAATGGAGTTTAGCTGCTGTGTATCCACTGCCATCTTTAGGAATATTCTGTAGTTAGCCACAGTCTCTTCCTCATTGGAACTCTAATACCCCTTTCCAATAGCCATTTGTCATCTACTATATAGACTCTTCTTTTGATTTCGTATAAAGTATTTTTCAGTGTATCTGATATTTCTGCAGTCCATCTTCTGTGTGGTCGACTTCTGGATAAAAACCAGGATAAGAAAGGTACTTATCAGAGAGCTGCTGTTTGCAGATGATACCGCAATAATGACCCACTCAGAGGAGGAGCTGCAGTGTTTACCACCTGCCTTTGCTGATGTATGCTGTGAATTTGGACTAACAGTCAGCAAAAAGAAGACAAAGGTTATGGTGCAAGATGTTAATGACAAACCTGCAGTCTACATTGATGGTGAAGAGCTTGAGACAGTAGACCATTTTACCTATCTGGGTTCCACAGTGAATAGTAAACTATCGCTGGACCAAGAAATAAACATCAGGATAGGTAAGGCAGCAACAACAATAAGCAGATTGACAAAGAGAGTTTGGGAGAACAGAAAGCTCACAATTAAAACAAAAACCCTTGTCTATTAGGCTTGTGTTCTCAGCACTCTGCTTTATGGCAGTGAAACTTGATCAACCTATTGCACTAGGAGAGACGGCTTAATAGCTTTCACATGCGATGCCTAAGAAGAATACTTGGCATTAAGTGGCAGGACAAAATCACAAACACGGAAGTACTGGAAAGAGCAGGTACTACAACAGTCTTTTCCATGCTCAGTCTACGAAGGCTCAGGTGACTGGGTTACACCTGGAGAATGAAGGATGGCAGAGCCCCTAAGGACATCCTCTATGGTGAATTAAAAGATGTCGAGGCCGCCCTCTACTACGTTATAAAGATGTGTGCAAGTGGGACATGAATAATACAGGTATTGATGCCGACTCATGTGAACAAAATGCCATGGCCTGTGTTGTGCGGAAAGGGCATATCAGGAAAGGAATGAGACTGAAGGAAGAAATGACTGCAGAAAGGATGAGAGCTGAGCGTCTGAAAAGAAACGGATTAAACACAAATATTGTTAACAATGGTCCTGAAATCCCATGCTTTCTTTGTGGAAGACTTTTCTTGACACGGGCGGGTCTTGCTAGTCACACTCGCCATCGCCATGGGCTGTGAGTCTCATGCCTCCTCAAAGCGCAATATAACACTATTGTCTGGAAAGACAGAAAGGTGCCAATGTATATATATATATATAACTATGTGTTTTATATATAGAAAATAAACTAAATTTTCTACAAATAACATACATTCTATTTTCTAAATATAACGCATATAGTTTATTTTCTATATATAAAACACATAGTTATATATATATATATATATATATATATATATATATATATATATATATATATATATATATATATATATATATATATATATATATATATATATATATATAACTATGTGTTTTTTATATATAGAAAATAAACTATATGCGTTATATTTAGAAAATAGAATGTATGTTATTTGTAGAAAATTTACTGTGTTTTTATATATATATATATATATATATATATATATATATATATATATATATATATATATATATATATATATATATATATACATTGGCACCTTTCTGTCTTTCCAGACAATAGTGTTATATTGCGCTTTGAGGAGGCATATATATATATATATATATATATATATATATATATATATATATATATATATATATATATATATATATATATATATATAAAACACAGTCAATTTTCTACAAATAACATACATAGTCTATTTTCTAAATATAACACATATAGTTTATTTTCTATATATAACACACATAGTTTTTTCTATGTACATTAAACACAGTCTATTTTTTATATATAATACGCGTAGTCTATTTTCTATATATATATAACACACATAGTCTATTTTCTATATTTAACACACATAGTCTCTTTTTTCTATATATATAAAACACACACAGTCTATTTTCTATATATATATTACACACATAGTCTATTTTCTATTTATAACACACAGTCTGTCATCTATATATAATACACATAGTCTATTTTCAATATATATAACACACATAGTCTATTTTCTGTATATAACACACGTAGTCTGTTATCTGTATATAATACACATAGTCTATTTTCTATATATAACCCATCATCATCATCATCAAGTGTTTTTCCGACTGGCTTTGGTGATCATGCGCGATTCACAGCTGCATGTATCAGGTTGTGTACTGACACTTTTCCATGCCATGACAAAATACTGCCAAGAATCTTCTCACTCTGTCTTCCTCTGTCTCTTTTTACACAGATCTTTCCAGTGGTCACAAAATGTTCCATTTTCTTTCTTTTCATAACGTGACCAAGAAATAATGACTGTCTTCTTCTGATGTTTGTGATAAGTTGCCTTCGAGCGCTGGCCTCTTTCAAAACATCTAGGTTGCTCTTCTTAGCTGTCCAAGGAATTCTAAGAATTCTTCTGTAAAACCACATCTCTAAGGCCTCAAGATATTGTTCAGTGTGTTAATTAAATTTATATAATACACAGTCTATTTTCTATACATGTAACACACATGGCCTATTTTGTGTATATAACACAAATAATCGATTTTCTATATATAGCAAACAGTCTCTATATATAAAACACACATAATCCATTTTCTGTATGTAACACACATAATCTACCAGTCGTGTTATATGGCTCAGAAACTTGGAGCACATCTAAAAGAGATGAAGCCTTATTACAGGTTTTTGGAAACAGAGTTTTACGACGAATCTTTGGACCCATCAGAGATGCAAACAGCAGTGAATGGAGAGTGAGAAGCAACAATGAAATTCATAATCTCTTTAAATCACCACTGGCATCATGAGAGCTAATAGACCTTAATCGTTGGGACATATTGAAAAATTGTCATATGACAGATAAGTAAAAATTGTATACACCAGGGAGATGAATGGTCGTAGACCATGAGGCAGACCAAGAAGAAGATGGAGAGATAATATCCCGACAGACCTACAAATACTTGATGTCACCAACTGGAGAGAGAGGGCCAACCAGAGAGATGAATATAGGCGGGTGATATCTGCAGCAATGATCCTCAAGGGCTGGGAATGCTGAAAAAGAAGAAGAACACACATAATCTGTTTTCTATGCATAGTTTGACTTGCACCGATGTTTCTTTTGTTTTCTTTTTTTTAAAAATATGTGTAATAAACATAGTCTATTTTCTGCGAATAACACCATAATATATTTTCTATGTATTACACATATACTCTGTTTTCCGTGTATAATAGGTAATCTACATTCAACTGCTGTAAGAGATGGCTGGGGAACGAGGGTTCGACCTGCGCAAACAACGACTGCTGCTGCTGAGTTCGCTGTACGTGGTTCTGGCAGCCATTGTCTACGTGTATGTATGTGATCTTGTGTTGCTGCTAGGGCTGATACTGGCTGTCTGGTTCGCATATGACCTTGTTCAAGACTACACCAAGCAGCTGGTTGACCCAGTGGGCAAGTATGTTCTCATCACTGGATGTGATTCGGGTAACAGCACTCTTAATCTTTCCTTTTTCTTTTACATTTTCTTAAAAGTGAAGATTGCATGAAGATGATACACATAAACACATGTGCATGTACAAATTGTGTAACATATGTACATATACAAAATGTGTAACATATGTGCTTATACAACATGTGTACTTATACAACATGTCTAAACAAATGTACACATACAACATGTTATAAAAATGTAAAATAAAATCCCCACCTGCACAGTCCGTGGTGACAGCACTAGCCATACGGTTATAAATCCTCAGGCTCAAAGACCCCTCTGCCTAAACTGAAAAAAAAAAAAAGGTAAAATAAATGTAGTAATTGGCAGTTTTATGCATATGTACACATACAATGTGTTAAACATATGTACACATATAACATGTACACATATAACATGTACAAAAATATATGCACATGCAACATGGTAAACATATGTACACATACAACATGTGTAAACAAATGTTCTGTCCTATCTCATGTACATATCACACATTACCTTCAGTTGATAGAGTTTATTACCTCATGTAGATAGAACTCATTACCTCGTCTAGATATAACTCTTTACCTTAAGTGGATAGAGTTCATTACCACATGTAGATAGAACTCATTACCTCGTACAGATATAACTCTTTACCTTCAGTGGATAGAGTTCATTACCACATTAGATAAAACTCATTACCTCATGTATCTAGAACTCATTACCTCATGTAGTTAGAGTAAATTACCTGATATATCTAAAACTCCTTACCTTCAAAAGATAGAGCTCATTCAAGTATATGGCTCATTACCTCATGTAGTTAGAGCTCATTACCTTCAGTAGATAGACCTAGATAGACCACATTACCCTCAGCAGATAGTGCTCATTACCTTCAGTAGATAGACCTTAGTACCCTCGGTAGATAGAGCTTATTACCTTTTTTAATATAACTCATTACCTCCCATAGATAGAGCTCGTTACCTCAGATAGATAGAAATCACCTTCAATAGGTAAAGCTCATTGTGTTATGTAGACAGAACTCATTACCTTTAGTAAATAGAACTCATTACCTCATATAGATAGAACTCATTACCTCTTGTGAAAGAGTTCACTACCTTCAGTAAATAGAACTCATTACCTTATGTAGATAGAACTCATTACCTTCAGTTGATAGAGACATTACCTCATGAAGATGGAACTGATTACTTAATGTAGAATCTGTCTAGAGGAAGTCAGCCTGACACACCTGCATGCTGACCAGACCTATGATCTACCGTGATGGTACATGGCTCATTGTACCACATTACTTTACATTACATTATACAAGGCCCTAACACCCACCACTCCTCTGAAATGGTACTTCCTGACAACAGACGTACATGTTACTTATTCTAGTCTGTAGTCAAGTATCAACAAATATTTATGGGATGTCACTGCAGTTGTGTCCAGTGTCTATGTAGTCAACAATCAGTTAACTGGGTAGGCATGAGATATCTTATGTAATTAATCAGTCACGTGAGAATTGTCAAAGACGTGCTTGTCTAGGGTGTTAAGTTAATCTGTGGCTGAGTTGTAGGCCAGTGACAGATAAATCTGCTAAAGAACACACCAACCCGAACACCTGTGGAACACATACACACACAATTTTTAATATCAAAGAGTACGAACTCACACAGTTAGCCTCAGGAGTGGTAGGGCTTATTTTTTGAAACCAGGCCGCTCTAGACACGCTAGACACGCCTTTACGCGTTTTATTAAATAAGCTCTGAGCGCTGTCTAGAATCGCTGTCTTCCGATGCCAAGGATTCTGCGGCACACGTCGAGTGAGGGCTGAAGGTGTGTCGGCAGATGCTATCGCCACAAACAGTGCATGACCCTGTTTCCCATAACAAGATATCACTACTGAAAAAGGAGTCTAACTGCTCTCATGAATCTATCTGCTCGATGAGATCTAAGTGGAACAATTCCTGTTTACACTGTAATGTACTAACACACACAGTCAAACACTGAACCTTATTAATCACAGCTATAATCTAATACATGCCACACTTCTACCAGTCATTAGAATTTGTCAATGAAGTACTACAATCTGACAGTCTGATCTACTGACATCCTTGTCAAACAACTGTCCAGCCTAATCTCCCGGATCCCCTCCCGCGCATCGTTTTGCCCAGCCTGAGGTTCAGCGCTGACTCGCTGTACCTCATGAAGTTCGAGTCACTGGTCATAACATGAACCATTCTGTTTCAGCTTGTCTGCACTTGCCCTGAGCTTAGTTATGTGTCACTAACTACAGACCTGTTGATTTATCATCATCATCATACTTACTTTACTTTCCCATAACAACCTCTAACATCACCCCTTCTTCTGGCAGATACTTTATTATGACAGTCTATGTTACTTGTCTCAGTCTGGAGTCAGGTATCTCTACGCGGGTATGGGATGTCCACAAAATCGGAAACAAAGTAAGTCCACTACAACTGAAATCCCATATACCCTTGATAACTCACTGAAGTATAGTGCAACACACAGTTCAGTAAATATAAGACTGTGATGAATTTGTCATCAATTCACATAGTCACTATTCTGAGATGTTTCCTTTTGAGAGTCAGTCACCTGAGAACAACATATCTTTACACCAGGAGAACATATCCCATGAGACTACCAATGGTATTAAGACATGTCACAAGTCTGATTGCAATGAGCTGTCTTCTGCTTGCAGTGGATCGTTGTCCAGGCGGTGATGTGTCTAGTGAATGCTCTTAGCACACATTCTTACGATGACATAACTGGGACAAGCCGACACCGACTTTGAAGTACAAAACAGTTTATTGACATCTCATCACTTACATAAAAGTCCTGTCCTGTCCGTGTCCTAATGTATAGCTTGGACACACTACAGCTATCAGACTCCAACATGCTGGTTTCTCACACAATTATTGACCAGTGTTCGCACAGATGGATCTGGTTATCCTCATCGACTTCACACAGAATGGCCTGGCTGGTCTTGGCTTCAATGGATGTCGTCGTCTGATCTTCCTCTCACAGCAATCAGTCTCACGTTGTCATTCTCTCGATCACTCTCCCGTCCTTTCGCTCCGACAGTCAACACATAATAACTCATACTAACTGGGGTCTGAGCTTATACCCAGTGTTCATTTCACGTGGCAACATGTGGTTGTTTTTGTTTTTCATGTGGCAACCTGTGGTTGTTTTCCTTTACTTCCACGTGATAACTAGTGGTCGTCCCCTATATTAAAACCTCGTTTAATCCGAGTATCTGGCTTCTCTCTGTATTTTTGTTAGCATGGGGCATTCCCCCCCAACCTTCCCAATCAGGGTGAAAATATCCCCCATTACACTGGTAATCTGGTAATCTTAGTTTCAGCTGCAAAGCAAACGGGTCACCCCATCGTTGCTCCGCTTCTGTGCCAACGAAAAACACACAGAATGATTATCACAGTCTCTTGTGAAAAGATTGACAGACTGCTGTCTCAGCATATCTAGCATACAGATGCATTAAAAGCATACAGTAGCCATCTGAAGTGCTAACACAAACAGTCTGACATTAGAAATGCAGTTCATCATTGATGGTAGCAGAAGTCACCAACAGATCAGCAGTTGCACACGCGATCAATTTTAATCATATAAGGGTACCACCAATATTGCGACAACAGGCATCGCACCATTTTCTGAATCTACAATTCACACCACCATGTTGATCAGTCGAAAAAACATTCCAAATGAAATCTACAGCTCACAGTGTCATGCCATGCATTCATCCCAGAAGCTGGGCAACGAAACTATATCCTTTCAGTCTACAAAGGGAGCAATAATGCAACGGCCACCGTCTGGAAGAAGCAGTTTGTTTCTGCTCCAAACAACGCCCATGCCTAATGTCAATTTTGACCAGAAGTGCAAGTCGCAAGTGGCGTACTATCTGAAACTTTCTAATCATAGAGGTAAAGACTAATATATTTATGTGGGTGGACAATCCTTATGCTCGAGACCCACTAATCTCAACTCCACTCCCGTGCGAGTTGTAAGCCATTGAATACACAACAATGGTCATCGTAGACATGACCCTTGTATGGTGCTATCTAAGTCTCCCGACTCATCTACATCCCGTCGTATAATGTGTCTAAATACCCTGTAATCCCTATCGATGACACCTGTCATACCTCTTGACCACTTCTTCTTCTTCACTTCTCCTTCTTCTTCTTCACTTCCTCTTTTACCGCTGTGGGTGTCGAGGGAGATATAAGGTTCTGTTTCTAGCTCTTCTGGCCGCCTCAACCATAGGCACATCGTGCTGTTGTAGAGTTTCTCTGATGGTATCCTTCCATGTTGTTCTTGGTCTACCTCATGCTCTAAGTCCTTCTTCTCTTTCCATGTATGCTTTGTATGGTATGGTGTCACAAGGCATTCTCTCTAAGTGGGCAAACCATTTCACTTGCTGTCTTCGTATGTAATTTAGAATTGGTTCTGTGCTGACTTTTTCTCTTATGATCTCATTCCTCATCTTATCTCTTATGGTCACTCCTACAGCCCTTCTCAGACATCTCATTTTCGTGGTTACTAATTTTCTTTTATGGTTTGTTGTGAGTGACCATGTCTGGCACTGGTAGCACAGAGTTGGAATAAATATGCTTTGAATAAGATGTCTCTTTGTGCTGATTGGGATTGTCTTATGCTCTAAGAGGGGAGCTAACTGTCCCAATACTTGGTTTGCTTTACTGCATCTAATGTTAATTTCTTTATCCAATTTCCCATCTTCAGTAAATGTAGTTCCCAGATATTTAAACTCAGATGCCTGTTTAATGCCTTTGCACTCTATTGCTATGTTTAGATCTGTCTTCTTTTTTCCTATTGACATTACTTCTGTCTTTTCAGTGTTGATTCTCATATTATTTGTTTTACATTCTTCATTCATGGATGTTAGATGTTGTTGCCATTTCATGGCTGTATCTGCTATCAAGGCCTGGTCATCTGGAAAGAGTAATTCGTTGATCTTACTAACATTTTCATTCTTGGGCTTGGCATTCTTGCATATACTGTCGATGTAAGTGATAAACAGCAGTGGTAATAAGACACACCCCTGTCTTACTCCAGATGTTACTGTGAATGGATGAGATGTTCCCTGATTTATTCTAACTACACTTCTACAATCCCTGTATAAACTTTTGCACACTTCGATGAGGTGTTCGCTTACTCCATATCTTGCCATTACTTTCCATAATAATTGTCTGTCGACTCTGTCAAATGCCTTCTCCTGGTCTACGAATGCCACAAATAAGTTCTTATTGTTTTCAATGTTCTTTTCTATTAACTGTTTGAGTGTGAAGATTGCATCTGTGCAGCTTCTATTTCTCCTAAATCCCATCTGTTCTTCTGCCAGCTGTGGTTCTATCACTGGTCTCAGTCTTGTTTCTATTATCTTGGCATACATTTTGCCAACATGGCTTAAAAGAGAGATGCCTCAGTATTCTCGTTTGCTTCCTTTGTTCTTCCACAATGGTATAACTATTGCATGTTGCCAATCAATAGGGGCAGTTTGTTGTACCCATGCTGCATTAAATATTCTGTGGAGCCATCTGATGCTGCTTTCACCTGCTGTTTGAATTATTTCTGTTGGTAATCTATCAGCTCCTGGTGCTTTATATTTAGGAGACTGCTTAATGACTTTTTCTATTTCATCCATTAGTATGTGTGGTTCTAACACTGTTGCTCTGTGCTCTTCAGTTGTTCTTTCCTGATGATCTCCTAGAGGATTATCTTGACCACTAGTGCAGCATAAACAGAAACACAAGTGAGGCCTGTTAGACACATTTGCAGCAATCATGGACGATTTCATCTGGTGCGTTTAACTTTTCCCTTATGCACAAGATTTCTGTACCCTTCATATATCCTCAATAAAGGCTCATCTGGAAACAAAAATCTCTTGTTGTCTAAACAAATTTAAAAAATATAAAAAAAAAGAATTAAAAAAATTTATTTTTAACCCAAACTACTAAAGTAAAAAAAAAAAAATTCTGTAAAATTCTACCACTTTGTTTCCGATTGTCAACATTGACTATCTACTTACCCAGTTTAGAATGTAGACTTTTACAATTACCTAACAATGTATTTTACATGTAACTAGTTGACAGCTGTAGCGCCATCTACGGAAAACAAACATGTGGTTGACCACTTAAAGAACAACATGATACATTTAATTTTTATCCAAAATTGCTCATGGTCAAATGTTAGAAATGTAAACCTGACAAATTTTATAAGTTATACATTCACTTTAAGAAACAATTTTAAAATAATTCCAGGTATTAACCCCTCCTCCCCCCCCCCCCCCCCTAATACTTTTACATTTGAAAATAAGTAAGATATACATACAGTTTGTAACTTGATTATGAAATGTTTCACAACATAATAAAAAACATGCACACATACACACACAAAAAGAGACACAAGGTTCATGGATGTGTAAAAATATCAGGTCAACACTTCCTTTGTGGGCACAAATGATATCAGTACCTGACACATATATGCCACCATTTCTTATACCTTCTAATCGTACAGGTAGTAACTTAAAAATAATGTGCGTGGACAGTCATCCTGTCCGGGACCTACTTTACATAACTCTACTACCGTGCGAGTTAAACATACTCCTAAGTTGCGCCATGGTACTACTATTTACAACAATGGTCGTCACTGACGTCACTATTCTATATACTGTCCCATACCCACACAAAACCCTGACACATGCTGATACTTGAAGTGAATAACCTAGTGTAATGATCCATCCCTCAGTAGGAGAATATAGAAGACAAAGGTATCTGCTGTCAGAAGCATGGCTCAAGAGTTGCCAGGTGTCAAGAAAGTGTTAAATATGTCTACTGTTTAGTCACTGAAACCTTTGCTCAAGTGATGGAACATATTTCAGGATTTGGTCTGGAGAGTGCTAAAGCTTTACAAGATCTTGGCTTTGGGGTGATTGCTGGATGTTACGATGATAACAGCCCAGGAGCGCTGGAACTCAAGGCCAGGCCATGGGTCCAAAAGGTTGAAGTGCTCATTCTTGATGTTACCAGTGAAGCCAGTGTCTTAGCTTGTGCTAAGGAGGTCAAGGATATTGTAAGAGATCAAGGTGATAAATGCACACATTACTGCATATTATTTCTTGTATTATGCATTTATGATTTCTTGTTTTATGTATTTTTTTTTTTCTTTATTGCATTTCTGATTTATTGTTTTATGTATTAATGATTTCTTGTCTTATGTATTTATAATTTGTTTTATGTATTTGTGATTTCTGTTTTTTTCTTCTTCAACAAATGATTGTTTGTATGGAGTCAGAAGGAGATGATCCTAGCAAGCATAACAACAGATCATACATCACAACAGCAGATTCTTTAGCAAAAGAGCACATCCTGTAGAACAACAAAACATCATGTAGCACAACAACAGATCCTAAATTACAGTAACAGATCCTATAGCAAAACAGCAAATCCTAGAGCAAAACTACAGATTCTAAAGCACAACAACAGATCAAGTAACACACAACAAATCTTGTAACACAACAACAGATTCTGTATCATTGTCTATTTAGCAAATCAGGCAGTTGTATCATGTCCAGTTAACAGATCAGACAGCTGTGTCATTGTCCAGTTAACAGATCAGACAGCTGTATCATGTCTAGTTAACAGTTCAAGCAGCTGTATCATGTCTAGTTAACAGATCAGTCAGCTGTATCATGTCTAGTTACGGATCAGGCAGCTGTATCATTGTCTAGTTAACAGATCAGGCAGTTGTATCACCGTCTAGTTAACAGATAAGATAGCTGTATCATGTCTAGTTAAATCTGTATCATGTTCAGTTAGCAGATCAGACAGCTGTATCATTTCCAATTAGCAGATCAGACAGCTGTATCATGTCCAGTTAACAGATCAGATAGCTGTATCATGTCTAGTTAACAGATCAGATAGCTGTATCATGTCTAGTTAACAGATCAGATAGCTGTATCATGTCTAGTTAACAGATCAGATAGCTGTATCATGTCTAGTTAACAGATCAGATAGCTGTATCATGTCTAGTTAACAGATCAGATAGCTGTATCATGTCCAGTTAACAGATCAGATAGCTGTATCATGTCTAGTTAACAGATCAGATAGCTGTATCATGTCCAGTTAACAGATCAGATAGCTGTATCATGTCTAGTTAAATCTGTATCATGTCCAGTTAGCAGATAAGACAGCTGTATCATGTCTAGTTAAATCTGTATAATGTCTAGTTAAATCTGCATCATGTCTGGTTAACAGATCAAATAGCTGTATCATGTCTAGTTAACAGATCAGTCAGCTGTATCATGTCTGGTTAACAGATCAAACAGCTGTATCATGTCTGGTTATAGTAATTGGAACTGTCTTGTTATTTCAAAGGTTTGTGGGCTGTCATCAATAATGCTGGAATCAACTGTCAGGGTCCAGCAGAACTGGTCTCCATGGAAATGTTTCATAGGTGTGCTGAGGTCAACTTGTTCGGAGCTATTCGGGTTATCAAGGCTGTTCTACCACTTATCAGACAGACAGAAGGTATGTATGTAAGTCTAGGTGAAGCTAACTTCTCACACATAGTATTTGTGTAGTCAGTGTGGAACTACCTTCTCACATATAGTATTTGTGTAGTCAGTGTGGAGCTACCTTCTCACATATAGTATTTGTGTAGTTGAGGTGGAGCTATCATGTCACAGAAGGTATGTGTGTAAGTCTAGGTGAAGCTACCTGTAGCAGAGTCATTGCTCATACCACCTTTTTAGTGTTGTGCTGTTTGCACGACAAGACCCCTTATGGCACTCACCCTTGTTTTTGAAACTTTTCCACTATGATTAGTAAGCATCTATATCCCCTTAGGTCCCTACTCTTGTTTCCCACGTACTTTGAGTCGTCTGATTAGACATCATGTGACTCTCCCCGTCCAGCACCAAAACAATTAGGTAAATTCCAATGACCCGGCCAGCCTAGGTCGCTGCAGAATCTGCAAAACAACGAGGGATAGGAGCCCCCTGGGAGCATGCTAGTAACCCCTTTATAAACGATTGCCCGGAACCCAAGGGCTGGACAGAAGGCACAGACATAGACAGAGAATAGACACAGAGGAGGGACAAGACACGGACGGAGACAGGGCAGAGGAGAAGACGGAGATAGACAGAGGCAGAAGAAGGAGGACAGCAGTGGACAGGCCAGGGACAGGCTAGAGATAGGGACAGAGATAGATAGTAGAGCGAAGTACCGGTCAGTTAAACAGGGAAGGAAGGTTGATTAGAAAGTGTAGATAAGTAGATAGTTAAAGATATATATATGTATTCGATTAGGATTACTGTCAGAAACAGTGGCCCCTTCCGAATGGTCACAATTGTTTTTACGCAGGACGACGGATCAACTCTTGTATACCGCTTTGTAGTAAGAGAGTTTGACATTTTTCACCACCCATTGGTCCAGCCGGATTCAGGTGTAGATACGACTTCGGGGACAGATACTGACTCGGAGACAGATGAAGAAGAGGCCGGAGCTCAGTAGACTAGAAGTACTACATATAGGCCGGACTTCCTGAAAATCTCCAAATGAATTTTATAAGTGGAAGATAAAAAATGTTGAACCAACCTGCACTAGTAGCCCGGTGGCAGTTAAAGACAATAGAATCAGTTAACAAAGTAAATAAAGAAGAAGAACACAACGCGATTCTACGAGTACTTAGCCGTAGAGATAATCCAGTGTTATTCAGAATATCATTTTTAATTGTGTGACATTGTTAAAGTATCATATTAAAGAAATTATAGAAGAGAATAGTTGTTTCCAGACACTTTATTATTCAAGCAAAGTCATGTGAGAAGCATGCAAAGAGTGCTAAGTGTGCATCATCATCACCACTAACGACACGACCATCTTTCTCCTCGTCTATAAACAATCACCAGCCACCCTTGTGACAAATATAAACGAAACTGGGACAATAACAGAGACGACTGTGTCACATACCTTCTCACATATAGTATTTGTGTAGTCAGTGTAAAGCTACCTTCTCACATATAGTATTTGTGTAGTCAGTGTAAAGCTACCTTCTCACATATAGTATTTGTGTAGTCAGTGTGAAGCTACCTTCTCACATATAGTATTTGTGTAGTCAGTGTGAAGCTACCTTCTCACATATAGTATTTGTGTAGTCAGTGTGAAGCTATCATGTCACAGAAGGTATGTGTGTAAGTCTAGCTGAAGCTACCTTCTCACATATAGTATGCATATGTCAATGTGTGTCTGTTTCCCTGCCTGCATGTGTTTATGTGTTTGTGTGTGTGTGCCCGTGACTGCATGTGTGTGTGTGTGTCTGTATGTGTCTGGGTTGTATGCGTGTGTGTTTTAGAGCGCCTGTCTGTCTGTCTGTCTGTCTGTCTGTCTGTCTGTCTGTCTGTCTGTCTGTCTGTCTGTCTGTCTGTCTGTCTGTCTGTCTGTCTGTCTGTCTGTCTGTCTGTCTGTCTGTCTGTCTGTCTGTCTGTCTGTCTGTCTGTCTGTCTGTACTGGGTGCCTATGTGTTTGTGTGTAAGTGAGTGATTAGGCTTGTGTGTATGTGGGTGTGTGTGTTCGCGCGTGAGTGTGCGCACATTATTTAACCACCCATGCTTTTGTTTTTGACCTTATATATATATATAATATGCTATGTGAAGGATGGAAGTTTGGAAGGGCCGAATGTAAGACAGGCCTGCGTGCCTAATTTGTAACCCTTTGAAAATAAAGTTAGTTCGTTCGTGCGTTCGTTCATATAGTATTTGTGTAGTCGGTGTGGAGCTATCATGTCACAGAAGGTATGTGTGTAAGTCTAGTTGAAGCTACCTTCTCACATATAGTATTTGTGTAGTCGGTGTAAAGCTACCTTCTCACATATAGTATTTGTGTAGTCGGTGTGAAGCTACCTTCTCACATATAGTATTTGTGTAGTCGGTGTAAAGCTACCTTCTCACATATAGTATTTGTGTAGTCGGTGTGAAGCTACCTTCTCACATATAGTATTTGTGAAGTCGATGTAAAGCTACCTTCTCACATATAGTATTTGTGTAGTCGGTGTAAAGCTACCTTCTCACATATAGTATTTGTGTAGTCGGTGTAAAGCTACCTTCTCACATATAGTATTTGTGTAGTCGGTGTCAAGCTACCTTCTCACATATAGTATTTGTGTAGTCGGTGTGAAGCTACCTTCTCACATATAGTATTTGTGTAGTCGGTGTAAAGCTACCTTCTCACATATAGTATTTGTGTAGTCGGTGTAAAGCTACCTTCTCACATATAGTATTTGTGTAGTCGGTGTAAAGCTACCTTCTCACATATAGTATTTGTGTAGTCAGTGTGAAGCTACCTTCTCACATATAGTATTTGTGTAGACGGTGTGAAGCTATCATGTCACAGAAGGTATGTGTGTAAGTCTAGCTGAAGCTACCTTCTCACATATAGTGTTTGTGTAGTCGGTGTGAAGCTACCTTCTCACACATGTAGTATCATGTGTAGAAAGTATATGTGTGTAAGTCTAGGTGAAGCTACCTTCTCACATATAGTATTTGTGTAGTCGGTGTGAAGCTACCTTCTCACATATAGTATTTGTGTAGACGGTGTGAAGCTATCATGTCACAGATTTGTGTATCGGTGCTACCTTGTAAGTCTAGTGTGAAGCTATACACAGAAGGTATGTGTCACTATGAAGCTACCTTTTCACATACCGTATTTGTGTAGTCATATAGTATTTGTGTAGTCGGTGTGAAGCTATCATGTCACAGAAGGTATGTGTGTAAGTCTAGGTGAAGCTACCTTCTCCCATATAGTATTTGTGTAGTCGGTGTGAAGCTACCTTCTCACATATAATATTTGTGTAGTCAGTGTGAAGCTACCTTCTCACATATAGTATTTGTGTAGTCAGTGTGGAGCTACCTTCTCACATATGGTATTTGTGTAGTCTGTGTGGAGCTATCTTCTCACATATAGTATTTGTGTAGTCAGTGTGGAGCTATCATGTTGTCACAGAAGTCATGTGTGTAGTCTGTGGGAAGCTTGTGTAATCAGTATGGATATATCCTCTCACAGAAAGTTTGTGCATAGTATGCATGGAGCAACTCTCTTACAGAAGTATGTGTGTAGTCTGTGTTATTATTTTTCACTGGTCACCTATATTGAAATCTTTGTACAGTTAACAATTGTTATGACAACTTCACTTCTATGCTGGATAAAGTTTTTAGCCTAGGAATAGAAAATATTCTTCTCAGAAATTTCAGCATTGATGCAAAGAAACTGTACTAAACGTCAGGCGATATCCTCCTATCCTATACATTTAAACAGCTAATTAACTCTTTGAGTCCCAGGGGAATTAGCATTACAGGCCCAATGGGTAGTAAAGAGAGAGTAAAATTGACGTATCATGCGTTCATTGAGCTTCTACGTAGGAACCTATGAACATGATGCTTTCCCTGGGACTCAAAGAGTTAACCTTCCCACAAAAGTGACAGAAGCCTCTTCACCTATACTCGATCACATCTTTGCAACTTGTTCAACAAATACTGTTTAATGTACTGTCCCTGCTACTGCAGTCAGCAACCACTATACTGTATGCATTACCTGGTCAAAAGAGGGATTCAGAGTTTTAAAAAAACCATTTCACTATTAAATTTAGAAGTTAAAATCTTTTAATCTTGATTTATTTTTACAACTTGCGAACAAATTACAGCTTGATCATGTTTATCAACTCCCTGAACCAGACGGGGCTATAGCCTTCCAGACTAAAGCAGTCTACAGTGTTTTTGATAAACAAGTACCAGTTAAAGAAGTTAGAGTGAAAAAGAACTACATCACCATGGATAAATTATGAGGGAACGAGACACAGCACACAAAAATAAAAACTTTATACTGCCCATCACAAATTAAGAATTTAAGCACAATATGAAGTTCGTAAAATGAAGAAAAAAACCCATCATTTTAACAAATTGACAAAAGATAACACAAACAGTGCTGACATATGGAAAGCTATTAAAGGAACCAACAAGAAACATTCTTCAGATCAATCAATACCTAATTCTCTAACATGTGAAGATTCAAACCCTTTTTCAGATCAGAAATTGAGAATTCAAAATCCTCAATACCAGACTCACAGTGTAACTTAATCCTACTAACATCATTCTGTGAGTCAAAATTCACCACGACTGTTCCTCCTGAGATTCCCCTATTGTCTGTTGCTGAAGTGTATAAATATCTCTCAGACCTCAAGCAAACTCCTCTGGCTTATATGGAATCAGTAATCAAATTCTTTGATGTGCTGCACCAGTCATTAGTGACTCCCTAATGTTCATATATAATCAGGGCCTTGCTAAGAGCTACTTACCATCAGCCTTTAAAATTGTTAAAGTTTGCCCTCTGCTCAGTCAGACCTGGTTCAGCTGACAACAGTTCTTTGGGAAACTATAGACCTGTTTTTCTACTAACCTCACTATCTAAACAGTTAGAGAAACATATACATTAAAAAAAAACTTCAGCATTTAATAACAAAAATCTAATGATTACCTCCA